GATATGCTGACTCTGTAAACCGCTTAGAGAGGGCTGAAAGCCCTATGAAGCGGTATATAAGTCTAACTGCTATTGCTATTCCGTCCTGAGGTGGGTAAAATGAGAACCCAGATTGTTGGGGGAAAGAGGCTGACGCTGTAAATGGCTAAGAGAGGGCTGTAAAGCGGTAGATAAATGCTATTGCTATCTTGTACCTTGCTAGGTTCCAGTAGCCTCTTTGTTGTTCCTTGTAGTGGTTAGAATTGTAAAGCCGCCCTCTATTGGACAGCCATTTGTCGAGGGTGGTATAGTCTCCTGCATGAGTTCCAAGTTCCCTTCCCTGGTGGTGCGGTATGGCAGGCTAATTCTGCCTACTGCTAGGAGTTCGATTCTCACCTCAGCCTTGACTCAGCCTCCCACCCTTCTGAGGTCGGTAAAATGAGGACACAGATTGTTGGGCGGCATCTCTCTAAACTGCTTAGAGAGGGCTGGAAAGCACCGCGAAGCGGTACATAAGTGCTGTTTCTATTTATCGCAGACAGAGGCTGCTTCCCAGCAGATACACAGCCACTTAAGGCCTTTCTCTGTATCCAAGGTGTATTCCCGATAGCAATGGTTTCCACTAATAAAATGTCATGTGTTCCTTATTGATAACCTTCTGTCTGCTGCTTTATCAGACTACGCGTTCGTGCACATGGAGAAAGACGAGGATGCTAAAACCGCCATTGAACACCTTAACGGAAGAGAAATCAAGGGCAAAAGGATTAACGTGGAACTTTCCAATAAAGCTCATAAAAGGGGGATTGCAGGATACATTGGCCAGTTCGGCGGAGATGAAAAGAACAAAATACCCACTTTAGAGAATCTGCAAGGCAGATCCGGCAACCTTGCCTTCTCAATGGGGAACCCGGCTTATTCTTCACTTGACTATGACTATCAGCAGCGGATGAACACTAATACCAAATTTGACTCAAATGGCCAAGCCAGGCAGATCTCCCCTTCTTTCTTCAGAAGAGACCGGAGCCCGCTAAGACGCTCACCCACCAGAGCAGGCTACGCACTTCCCATGACCGGCCAGCAAGCTTCCTACAGAGACCAGCCTGCAGCATCGCTTGGGATGGCCTACAGGCCTCAACCTACCACTGGGCAGGCGGCCATGTACCGAGCCCAGCCCTCCACCATGCTGTCAAATGCCTACAGAGCCCAGCCCTCTGTGGCCAATAGTCAGGTGGCAGCCTCGGCATTAACATCCTATAATACCCAAGGCTATGGAACCCAGGCCGCTGCTTCCCAAGCTGCCACTTACGAAGCCCAGCCCTCCACAACGTACGCTGCCGCCGCCGCTGCTTATAGCGCCCAGACCGCGGCCTCCTACGCGGCCTACGGGGCCCAAGCAACTGCTCTCTCTGCTTCTTACGGAGCCCAGTCGGCAGCCAGCCAGTCAGCCTTGTACGCAGCTCACTCTCTTTCAGCCCAGCCTGCGTCCTATGGAGTCCAGCCCGCCGTGGGCCATGCTGCTTCCTACGGGACTCAGCCTTCATCGTCCGCGATACAGTCTGCTTACGGGACCCAGTCTGCAGCCAACCTGGCAGCTGCTTACAGCATGCAGGAGGCCGCTGCGGCTGCTTACAAAACGCAGCTGTCTGCTTCGTTGCCCACAGCCTACAGAGCCCCAGCGGAAGCGGCCTATGCAGTCCAGCAGTCTGCTTCTGCCCCCGTAGCAGCAGGGTATAGGTCTCAGGCTTCAGCGTACAACGGGTTAACCCAGACCGGGCAGCAGGCAGCTTCCTATGCGGGCATGTCCCAGGCAGAAACTGCTGCTCTCCACCCACTCTATGAACGCACACGTCTCTCCCCGCCACGCGGAAGCCGTGAGGAGCTCTACAGAAAAGCTGCTGCAATGAACAAGAGGTATGCGGCTTTGATCATGCTTTGCGCAGCAATCCCACCTTCTGTCCAAGGAGCTCTCTGTACTTCCAGAGGGACTCAAAACGGGACTCCATTCTGCAGTTTCTAGCAGGTGGCAGGTTTCTCTCAAATCCTCAAATTTGGGTGTGCCTGAAAACAGGGAAGGGGTTGGGAATGGGACTCGCCAACCCCTTCATTGAGTCTGCCTTCTTCCCTCTTTCAGCCCTTTTCTGTGCTTTTTCCATTGAAGGGGAAAGGGAGCCAAAGAATAGTTAGTTACAGTCATAATTTACCTCTCTCCCAATCTGCATTATTTTAAATACATCCATATAAGAAGAAGAGACATCTTAGGAACCAAAAACACCTGGGCAATTGGGTAGAAGGTTCTGTTTCCTGACCCTCCCCTAGCATGTGAAAGTGAAGCTAAGCACTTTCAAGTTACCATATTTTTCAGAGTATAAGACGCACTCTTCCCCCTGAAAAAGAGGGTGAAATCTGGGTGCTTCTTATACACCGAATACAGCATTTTTGGCCTCCCAAAACCCTGCCCCTTTGCAAAAATGAACATGCAGAGGGTTTGGGAGGCTTGCAAAGTGCTTCTGGGGGCTGGGGAGGGCAAAACCGAGCAAAAAACTAGCCATTTTTTGCTAGTTTTGGGGGGGGGGCAGCCCCCAGGAGCACTGTACAAGCCTCCCAAAGCTCTGAAAGGCCCTTTTTTGGCGGGTTGCAAAAAAACGAGGCATACAGAGGATGTGGGAGGCCTGTAGAGTGAAAAACCTTTTTTTTAAAATTAACTTCTTTAAAATCATGGTGCGTCTTATACACCAGTGTGTCTTATAGTCTGAAAAATATGGTAGCTCCTTAACTCAGCTTGAGCACAAAGATACTTAAGGGGATGTATTTGGTTCTTACTGTATCCAAAAGTTTTCTAGGTTCCAGTCAGCTTGGGGAAAACATGCCCTGCTCACTGTATATTTTGAGCCATGTTCAACATCCAGGAGACTGAATTTTTAAGTCGTTATGTAATCGGGGTAGAATTGTAGTCCAAGGTACAGATGTGGAATGTGAAACACCATAACCAAATCCTTTAAAAACTTTTAAACGTTTTCCTGGCCAGGTTATTAACGGAACTTTTCCTACCAGTACTGGGAGTTAGAAAAGCTAGTACCTTAATGCAGTTTAGAATCCTTCATTCATCTTTTCTGGAATTTAATTTCTAGACTGTAGTCTCATCAAGTCTGGAAGAGCTTAAGTGCTTTTCTTCAGCAGGAATTTATAATTTAACCAAACCACTAAGGCAGTGATGGCGAACCTTTTCGGCACCGAGTGCCCAAACTGGAACCTATGTACATGTGGGCACATGCCGGAGTGCTGGTAACGCAAAGACCAGCTGGCTGGCCCACGCATGCCTTTTTTTGGCCATTTTCGGGCTGTTTTTCAGGCTGTTTTTGCCCCAAATAGAGCCCAGAAAATGGCCCGAAAAAAACAGCCTGTTTTTCGGCCGTTTTAATCTGTTTTCTGGCACCTATGAAGACCAAAAGAGCAGCCAGAGACGGCATGCATGCCCACAGAGAGCACTGCGTGCCACCTCTGGTACTCGTGCCATTGGTTTGCCATCACGGCACTAAGGGATTCTCTCCATCCTCCAAAATGCAGGTAAAACGGCTCTTAATTTTTATCAGATAGCAGAGGGGGGAAAATCTCCTTTGGATTCTTCTAAAAAGTTCCTATCCATGCTCACACCTATCATTGCTCTTCTCTACCAGATTTCTTTTTTTGGGTGGGGGTGGGAGAGAGGCACAGCCTATATTTAATTGGGGCATTTGCCACGAGCTGCTTCTTTTTTTTTTCTTTTTTAATTCACCAAATGTCTCTTTTCTTAACCAGGTACAGTACTGATCTCTCAGATGACCGCCGTTTATCTGACTTCTCTGATTTCCGCCGTTTATCCGACTCCCCCCATGCGTACCGCCACTCGCCAACAAAAGCTCAACTGGATTATCGCCGCCTCCCCGAAATGCAGTCTGATGCCCGTTACGCAGGTGCCTATGGCGATTACTTGCGTAACGCACAACTGCAGCTGCATGCTAGTTACCAGCGCCGTCTGTAGAGGAAATTTCCCCGCCTTCTGGGGTGGGACTCTGTTGCCATGGCCTCCGCCGTTGTAACCCATAAATCCCAGCTGCTGCGTTCGATTTCAGAAGACTCTTTTAGTCCTGACATTTCTTGATCATGGGTGCCCTAGGCCACTTTAGCTAAACATTTCTCTTTTTGTTGTTGTTGTTCTTCCTTACGCCATGTAAAGGGTGTGCTATTAGGTGAGTCGTATATGTGCTGCCCCAACGCGAGCAATTTTATTAAAAATATATATATATATATTGGGTGATTGCCTTAACCTTGGCATTCTGTTTGGCCCCAGAAGCATCAAACATTGGTGCACACGGGACCTCTTAAAACCAAAGTGGTGTGTGGGAAGGGGGGGTTGTTTTGCACCAAGAACGACGATCACTTCAACTGCTTCAGTCTGGCCTTTCTCGAGTTCCCACCCAATGAAAAAATAATTCCACCTGGTTAAGCTTTCATTTAATGATGGGAGAATCACCTTTTCAAATCGGCTCATTTGCTTTTATGTAACGGCATCCTTCCTTGATTTATGACAGCCTAGGCTGGGCAGGTAAACTTTTATGTTAGAAGTGAGTTTAGATAATTTTGGGGAGGGGGGGGTGTATTACTGTAAATAAAATGAACTCATTGACATTTTAGACCTCCCAGTTGTGTTATGATTTTGCTGTGCGTCCGTGTATATGCGCAAGTTCCCATTCGTTCACCCTTTCTTTCATCAGTATGTCTGTAAAAATCAGCCTCGCCCAGCTTTGTCCCATTGGAGGTTTCATCCTGTGGGACAGCTCCTGTCATTCCTGACCAATTTCCCCATATGGGTTGTGAGTCAAGGCGTCAATAATCCAGAATTGCTGACGCACTTAATCTGGGAACGAGTGCTCTAAAACAGTATCAAACTCAAGGCCCAAGAGTCTGATCCAGCCCACAAAGTGCTTAGATCCGGCTTGAGGGACTGCCCTGGAAACGGCAAAGGGCCGGTCTGTGTTGCCTCTGCCAGCAAAAACTGAGTTTGAGAGGGCCACATGCTCTCATTTTCACTAGCAGAGGGTTGTGTTCTGACGTAGGCTTCCTGATAAAGCATAAATCACACGCTTAGACCCCAAAACCCTCATATATTTCAACGGCTGTGAATTATGGTCATTCACAGCCCGTAAAGAGTCACAAAAAGTCTGCAAAGAGTCCGACAGAAGTCTGCCACAGTCTTTCGGGGTATTGCTGATAAGCACCCACCTTTATCTCCCTTGAAAGGCTGCCAGAGATGTAACTGCCAATTAGCTTTGCAAGGCCAAACGGAGCAGAGAGTCAAACGGAGGATCTCAGAGCTTGAACCGACCAGAATGAACAAAATTGCTTCCTGCAAAGGCTCACGGCCGTTTGCTCCTCTTTTATGGCTTATGGGAGGGGCCAATCATTTCCAAACCTTACTCCCGAGTGTCCCCTTTTGCCTTAACTGCGCACACAGGGAACAGGCTCACACTGTGCTTCTGCGTCGCTGGTGTCAGGCTCTGGAGGCAGCACATCACTACCAGGTGGCCTTGCCCCCCCCCCCCTCTGCCTCTGACGCAGAGCCCTCGTTCAAGCCTTCCCCAGACTCCAGGACTGGCCCATCTTCCTCCCCAACCCCCTCGCTGTCCGACTCTGCTGCCAGCGGATCACAACAGGTTGCAGGAGGCCATCCTAGCCAAAAACCGAGCTCGGGAGCCTGTTTTCACTGGCAGAGCACTCAGGCCATCTGAGGCGCCCCCGACACGAGTGACATCAAGGTGGCCATGCCTACCTTGGCCTCACCCACTGCAGCCCCCTGAGGGCAAAAACAACCCTGATGCGGCCCTCTGTGAAATCAAGTTTGATACCCATGCTCTAAAACATTCCCATGGGGGGCCTGAAACTGCAGACCAGGCGTATCAAGTGCATTTGAATTCCTAAAGATCCCGCTTTCCTGATCTACAGTGCGTAGCATTAATACAACCGGCGTTACCTTTCCATACATGAGGGACTAGGGGCGCCTATAGCATGAAAAGACAAATCGCAGTTGCTAAGCCTTGTGTAATACAGGTAGTCCTCGACTTAAGATCACAGTTGGAGCAAACTTAGTTTGCTAAGCGAGACATTGCTTAAGGGAGTTTCACCTCCGTTTATAACTTCTCGCCACATTTGTTAAGGGAATCACTGCCGTTGCTCAGTTAGTAACAGTGAATCTGGCTTCCCCATTGACTTTGCTTGTTGGAAGCTCGCAAATATGTTGTAAATATGAGTCAGTTGCCAAATGTCTGAATTTTGATCACATGACCGTGGGGATGCTGCAACGGTCCGAAATGTGAAAAATAGTCATAAGTCACTTTTTTCAGTGCCCTTGCATCTTCGAACGCTCACTAAACGAAGTGTTGTAAGTTGAGGACTACCTGTAGTTGCGTGTGCAAAGCTCTGTCCACCCATTGTGTTCACCATTTTCTTTCTGTCCCATTTGACCTCCAAGCTGTCCATTTGTAAAACAAACAAACACAGGACAATGTAGCCTCCCTTGGATGTGAGGCAAGGTGAGTTCTCAAGAGAGGGGGAAAGAGAAGCGTGTGGATGCGACACTGGAAGGCTGAGAATACTTTTCTTTGAGGGGAGCTGTTGTGATTCCTGGCAACTGAAGTGTGTTGTGGCCTGTCCAACAGCCGGATCAAGAGGAGGAGAAGGAGGCCTGGGAGTCAGGGTCAGCATCAAGGCAACCTGAGAGCTCCGAGGGGGAAGAGGGAATGGAGCTGGCAGAGAGCCTGGACCATCCATCCGCCCTCGGATGGAGAGTCAACAGTCCACAGGTCTGGAGGTGGCTGAGGAGGAACAGCTGGGACCAGTCCCTGATGTGCAGAGGAGAGGAGAGCAGTGGAAATCTATGGGCCGGTCCTTGGGACAGAAGAGCCGCCGCTGCTAACAAAGCCCCACCTTAGCGCTCGGGATAAAAGGCAGGGGGCGGAGATGAATAGATGTGACAGACAATCCTATCATTCATCTCCCTGCCGGACGGACTTGTTAGCCTAAGAGAAACTTTGCCGGGACTGCCGGCACTCTTAATAAAGGAATCTTGAGTTCACATCAAGAGGGTTTGTCGTGTTTGGGGAGCTGGGTCAGAACAAAGTGGCAAGGGTTACTTTTCCCCCAAAACCAATGCTTGGTTTATTCATTGTGCTAAATCGTGGCTTACTTAGCCATGGTTTAATAGCCAGGCTTCTAAGACACATCAGTCAGGTCACTTGGGCATAGATTCGTAATTGGTTACATCCATGAATTTCACTTAATTCAGCCTCAACAAGAGCTACCTCAGGCTCCAAACTATGTGGAAGATTAAAGAAACTGGTTCCCATTACAATAAAAAATATACATCCAGGAGTTTGGGTCAGTAGGTCCTGAAGGACCCTGACTTTGGGTTCTCCATTATAACAAAGTAGGAAGACTTGATGGTTTAATACTCCCAGTTAAAAGAACTTGCAACACAAATCATTTTCCACTATGAAAGACTCTGCATTCGGCAACAAGTGACATTTAAGCAGTAAAAAATGAATTTAAAATTGGGAAAGGCATCATTGCACTGTAGCATCCTCACATTTAAATACTGCAAGGTATTTGGATAAGAAACTTGGTCCCGGCACTTTAAATTTGATTTATTTTTATTTTGTTTTGGGTTGCAAGTTCTTT